CAAAAATGTCTATAGAGATCTCCAAGCGCAATCTCACGAACACTAAAATCCAACATCCATACGTAAAAATGAAGAAGAAGAAGAAACAAAAAGGTATCGTGATATCACAACTACTTAAAAAGGTAGCGCGCGGTCTCACGCACACTTTTGTGCATCTGGAGAACTCTATAGGTGACCGAAATAAAACACAAATAAAACCACTTTGACTCTACTACTTTGCTAGCGAACGCAAAAGTATCATTGAACAAGTGTTGCCAGATGTATTTCCCTTAGCAATGAATTTCAGTTTAGTAAATAAGTAATTACTCATTAACTTAGGTAACTGGATGTCTTTACTGGTGATCAATTATCAAAAACTGAATAAATAAAACTAAAAGGCACATTGACGTTCCAACTAAAAAGATTGCACAAGATTGAATTAAACACAAACAGCCGTGCATATAACCTGACATTCGCTTTCCCGCTCAGGGGTGTAAATAAAATATCATACATCGCGGTCTGGCAATGTGATTTTTTGTCCATGACATTCTTGTGCACTACATAGTATGACGTCACATTGGCTGTTGTGTTGATAAGTGACCACTTGGTATTTATAAAGCATGGACGATTTGGCATAGCGACGCATGCTGCCAATAAATTTTACTAATACATTTAGAAAGTGATGATTTTGGAATATAAGAAGAAGAAGCAGAAGTAAAAAGACTGATCGTTAGTTTCCTCTTAAGGTGCAACAATTGATCATGAAAATTATGCCTGCTTCTTATTTTTTAATCTTTAATCATTACTTTGTTTTTTTATTAATAAATAATTTTAAAAAAATCTTCTACGCCCTTGGTTTTCAATAAAGAAACAAAAATATGATATCACACTAACTAGACCATAAGAAAAAACAGAGACAGCAAATCTCCTTGGGTGACCTTGATGTATGCAATTTTGTTCACATTCCTGGGTGGGAAAACGATTGACAACTTACGGACACTGTTTCCGTCTTCCCGGAATTTGTTTTATTCCACGCAATGCATCTTTTTTAACTGCTACGAATCAGTGATAGAAATACACACCCATTTTTTATTGCTAAAATATTGTTTACTGGACGACCAGTAATTTGACCCAAAATCAAACTGACAGCTATTTGCTGTAAAACCAGTAATTTATACTGATTATCCAGCAAAGCGTAAAACCAATCATTTTGCTGGAAGAACAGTAATCCTCAATTGTTTATAATATTCTTGATAGACATCATTATTTCTGAAAACCACGTTCTTTCACCGGTTACTGTATTATCATCGTACAAAACATAATTTTCTCATGTGAGGAGACAATTTTTTAACAAACGATGCAAAAATAAATCATGGCTTATTTTAAGCACATTCCGGTAGCCAATCTATAGTTTTATTCAGCTGAAATGGCAATAATTAAGGAGCAATTAACCTTTTAAACTTAGTCAACCTAAAGTTAAGAATACTTACTCAATGTAGGTATATACAATCCAACTTCCACTGTGCGGGAGTGTTTTTATCGAAGAAAAATGTCTGAAATATAATAGATTACTATCTTATATTGATCCAATCGCAAATATTTTTAGAACGGAAGTTGAAAGGCGATAGCTCTGTTGAGTTTCAGTGACCCATTTCATGACTGGACTCACGTCCATTCCGAGGTCACTTTCAATTACAACAAGCCCCGCATACACATATATTGGTATTATGTGTACACTTCCATCATCAAAGCAATTTATGCTTTGTATATGGCACGTATTTATTGGTATGTATTTCATATTTTTTATAATTCTTTGTAATCAGTTAGATTTCACCGCTGATGTATTATGTATCCTTGCTGCTGAATCTTCGTTATCTGCCTTCTTGTTGAATCCTGTTTAATCAACATCCCCAGCATACATACAAGCAACCAAAATTAATACTGCTTATGAATCCTATTACAAGAACAAAATAGCAATCAGTTGCTTGAAGATCCGTGTTCTATTTGAATTTTTTGAGCATAAATGGGACATCATTTAAAATTTCATGTATTCTGCAGATACTTCTTCGTAATTGGCCAGGCATCGACTTTTTGTATAACGTTGCACTGAAGTTTATACAAAACTCAGTTAAGAATACTTACTCCATGTTTACAATATAATTCATGTAGTTAATGGGATGATTCGAAGGTCGAACACTTCATGACTCTGAATATAAAAATAAAACTGCAGAGGAGTGAACGATGGCCCCGAATGCCGGTTGAGTTTGACGTTTTAAACAGATTACTGGAAAATCCATTATTTTTTATGTATTGCTGATTGTTTAGCAAGAAATGAGCTGGAAGCAGTTCAGCAATTCATTTTGCTGGAACTCGATTCAGATTTTTGGTGTGTAGTCTTATAACATTTTAACATTCAGTATTCAAATTTTTTTTTTCTTTATTAAAGAGATTTTTAGCCATAGGCTAGTTCATCTCTTATTCAGTATTAAAATATCTAAGGCAAACCAACCGATAACTGAAAGCTGTTAATAAAGAAAAAAAAAAGTTTTAAAATACATATATATTCATTATAAAATACATCCTTATAATTCAGGTAATGAATCGCACTTCTCATTTGATCGTTTAATGTTATTTAATGCACAACATCAGGCAATGCATCTAGCAACGATGTTAAATGATTCATTGCCGTTCACAAGCGAAGTAGAGAAGTCAGAAAGATGTTTCTGCCGTTTTTTTTGTCTTCGCCTAGAGATTTGGAAAGTAGTTTTATTCAATTCCATGTCTTCAACTGTTTGAAATAGTGTAGTGATTTAAAGAACACAACTAAGCATATCCAGTGAAGAAATTCTGGAAAAAGAAGCTGACATATTTTACTTACGACTTGTGTTATTGTTATTGTTATTGTTATTGTTATTGTTATTGTTATTGTTATTGTTATTGTGTCATGCTGGAGGGGGCATTGAGCCTGGTCGCCAGTGTAATTTTGGTGACCAATTATACACCTTCCATGCAGCAATCAGATAGAAAAAGATGAGATGGCTCTTAGATAATGACTTATGCGAGTCGATTGAAATCAGCCGAATATTGAATGAGGGTTTAGGTGATCCTTAACATAGAAGCGTAGATGCATAGATGAAGGATAAGAGAAAGGAGAGAAAAAGGTATTGAAAAACAGAATTGGTAGAGAATGAGTGCTGATGAATATGCATTTATGTTTCATTTAGTTATAATGATTATCAATAATACTTATTGTATTATTGTATTGTATATAATCTAGTTATGATTATTGTCAATAATACTTACATTTCGATAAAGATGGTGCTGCCTACTTTAACTGTTATGTGATACTTATCATCACAGAGTCCAACCTTGAATAGCAGACCAGGTCCACTAACAAAACACTCGTCCCAAGAGGGGTTTATGGTCTTCTTTTCTTCTTCAGGTTCGCTCACCACCCGGAATGAAGGCTCGGTGCGGTTAGTAATATCAAACAGTGTTACATGCAAACGAAAAAACGAAAAAGAGATACAACCAGGATTAGTTTTTTAAAGTAATAGTTTCATCTGAATACCCAACTAACCATATCTCAGTGACATTGTACCACTCTGAACCCACACCTAAAGCTATTTTGTGATTATATGGTTACTTTGGTATTCAGATGAAATGTTGTGCAAGTACCAGAAGTTCAACAACGCCCAACTATGGACAGCTTAATGTTAATACCATTTACTCTTTGAATCAGCTTACACCAACATGATAATCTACTAAGAAACATCTAAGAATGTATAAAGATAAAGTTCAAAAATACAGTTTTAACTGATGGTACTTTATAAATGTCAAACTGTCCAATATTGGACCCTGCCAACACACGGCGCCTGCACGGCAATGTGGGCCGTCAGAATGGTTCATCGGTTGCGAAGTGAAGTGCTTCTTAAACTGAAGCGATACATTTCTCAATGTTTCAACGTTATCCTAACGTAAACTTAATATTATCGCCCATATGCCTGTCCACACCCGAAACCCATCCACCACACAAAATCAAATAAAAATGTTTCTGTATGGCAAACACGTCCAGACATAAACGAGAATATGTGTGTATATCTTCACTGTAACAACTAAGGGTAATCATCGAAAATACTTGCATTTTACTCAGCCACTTTTGAGCAAACTGCAATCACTCTCTCATACTCGAAATGTGCCACGACCAAATTGACACAACGACGCCCTATACGCTCTCTGACCAAAGCGCAGGGACATATTTTACTTACGACTTGTGGAACCTTAATTTTTTTTATGAAGGTCTCAGTAGTGTTTTATGCTCTCTAAATATTTCTGTTCAGTCTTTTTTTTTTCTCCGTTCGGGACATAAAACTGCTGCGACCAGTACTTTTATCTATTGTATCTAAATTGTATATCCCGTATATCCCGTGTCCTTAGTTTAGTGCATGTCGTATTACTCCATCACTATTGAGAAATGATGAATTGGATTCATTTCGGCATACGAATGAAGGCAGAAAAAATAGATACGCTAAGAAAGCTTTTTTTTTGTTTTTGAGAAGAATAGATGTAATTATGCATTCTTATAGACTTTGTAGTTTTTGAACTAAACTATGGACCAAACGTATGATTGATATGTTCACGTCGAAACCATTGATATATTGGATGTTGCTGTTCGATATGACGGAAATGGGTGCTTATGCCGAAGTAGTGCAGGGTAGAGCATTGTGCCATTAATTACAATTCAGAAAAAATATGGAAATGCATGAATACTAATAAAAAAATATATATGATGTAGGGTAAAATAAGACTGAAGAGACAATGTTGGACACGTCGCATTTCTAGTTAAAGGTTAAATAAAATATGAAATAATCCAACTTATTAATTATTTCATGCAATCATGCTTTGCTATGCTGCAATGTGTATATATATATATATATAATAAGCATTGATATTATGTTGCCTACTTTAAGACAAAAATAGAAGTTTGATAATGTTAAAAACACATTTGACTAACTTTGCAGACAATATACCAGCAATTCAGGAGACACCACGACAGCAGAGGCCCACACATCTGGATCTCGAGTCTTCAACAAATCTTATATCGTCCCAGCAAATAACAGTAAGAAATGCACTTATAGTTTTATAGTAAATGTTACTACTGATATGTATATTTGATTAATCAGGACACTGCAGAAATACTGAAAAAATCTCCTCAATCGGCGTCAAATGAAATCATAACACTTAAAGAGCAGCTCGATCAACAACATCTCCAAACAAGACAGGTTATGGCTCAATTAATGCTTGTTCGGGAGCAACTTATAACTGAGACAAATGTTAGAATTGAGGCACAGGTAAGTGAATATTTGTTAAGTATCAAAAATGTTTTTTTTACTAGGTGCACAAATAAACATATTGTTTCATATAGTTTGATGCAGGGATCAGAAAACTCCATATGATCTTCTTACGGATGTAAATATTAAAAATTTAGGATATGGGGAGTAGCTCTTATGGTAGATTTTTCTTAAAGCAATGCGTCATGAAAAATTGATCAAAAATGCTATATTTCAGAATTTTACCATGGACTCAGTATTAGTAACACTTAGACCGACATTGGGGACATCAACCCTACCTTAATAGATAATAGCCAAGCCGTGTAGTGTGAATTTACATCATGGTTTAGTAAAGCCGTCTTAAATTTTCATTTTTAGGCACGCATTCAACAATTGCTTCAGCAAAATCGTGAATTGCTTGAGCATATTGCATCACTCGGTGGATATCATGAACCCGATCGACCTGGATTGTCAGCCACTGCAATTGGGCTAGCCCCACAGGTACGTAGACATCTCCAAATGCTATGTTTTATATAATTTGTTGTTTCCAAGGAACTTTTTCACGATTTTATTAACTAGTGTTGTGCATTGCTTTAACTGATTTAAAAAGTGAACCATGAAATTAAACTGTTTAATAATTAATAATAGTGCATACTTTCGCGTGTTGAATACTAATATTTGCTTGCGATGTATTTGTGACGTGTAAAGGATCTACATCTATCAGGGTAAGTATATCTGTTTTGCATGATTTATTTGCATTTTCTACTTTGCATGTTCATATTTTAACAAATATGTTTCCATACTACCGTTTATTCATTGACCATTATCTTTAGTATCCTTATTTTCAGAATAATCAAATGCTCAGCGATATCCTTAATCTAGGAAGTTTAGGCCATCATTTTCCCTCAATGCATCAGTTTACCAATACTAGTCAACCTTCAGTGACGTCATTACAGCAAAATTTGAATAATTCTAGCAGTGGAAGTTATTCAACTCTTAATAAAATACACAACATCCCGTCCCCGTCCAACATTCTGGGCTCAACAATTGTACCACTTTCAGCACAAGAGCTTCTAAAATTAAATCAAAGTATTTTAAGCCAATTTACCAGTTCCAATCTGAGCTCACTATACCCTACAATGTCAACAGCTAATGTAGGATCTAATCAACAACAATCCAATAGCTTTATGTATGTAAATCAGAATGCTCCTGGCTTTAATAATGTAAAACCAGTGCCAACAGAGGGTGGTACAAATACTTCTTCAGGAATTACTTCAAAAACCACGCACATGGGTCTGCAAATGAACTATAATGATAAACAAACTAATAACTCGAACAGACAATCTGTTAATCCCAGCGAACACTCAATAAACAAAAATGAGAAAAATGATTTGGATTATACCCAGGAAGGCCAATCAATATTGCACGAACCTACGCAGTTCATAAAACCATTGTCTCAAGTGGGAACTCTTACAACAATGGATACTGATGGAAAAGTTAAAGTTATAGTACCTGTTAATCCCAACGAACAATTGGAAGTTTCGAAGCTGATGAATAGGAAATCTGCATCATTCTTGGAATTGTCTGGTAGTGCGAGTAATGATGGTAGCAGTAAAAATGTGTCAATACTCAAGGAATCGAAGGAGAAAAAATCTTCCATTCCAAGCTTAGTAACACTGAAAGTTACTGATGAAAGTGGAACCGTCACCCGAAGGTTACCCGCAACACCAAGTTTCATCACTCGTAGTACGAGCGAAAAAGTTCCAAACCGTAGCCAAATAATGAGCCAGGTCCAGCGTACACAGTGGGCTCGTCATACTACGAAATAAAAGAATCAGATAACACGGTGAAATATAATAATAAGATGATGTATTATAAAAAAAATATATAAGATTATGAATCGTTGATTAAAATAGATATATTATTATACCCAGTAAAATAATGATATGATTTTTGAATTTTATCTCTTTTATTTTTCCTGGATCACATTTCCCAAAATTATTTTGTTTTTGTCAAAGAGTTTTACCAAGAAAATTAACCTGCATTAAATAATAAGGTCTTTTAAATTGTGGTATGTAAACATTTTGAGCTTTTGAAATCTAAATAAGAAAAATATTATGCATAAATACATTGTATTAAAATTAGTGATTAGTTCGACAAATGTTAATTTTCAAAAATAGATGCAATAAATATTTAAATCCAATATCTTGAAGATCTTGGAATGTTTGAATCGTCTTGACCTCTCACCCCTCCATATTGTTCTACTGGATGAAATAGGTATGTCCCCTCCTGATTGGGGAAATTAATGGTGGGTGGAAGTAGTTTACTGCCGCTCTTCGCATGTCGGTCCCATAGTCGTTTTCGTCAAAACTGAGTTTTTCAATGCAAATGGTAGCTAATTACCAATATTTTCATAACACTGGATGAACTCATCAACTTTGTTCTGAAAAAGTTTGGAAAGACAGTCACATTGGTTGTCCCATCACATAAGAAGCAATGGTACGAAGCAAACTTGAAACGCGATTTTCTCGGCTTGCCGATTTTCGCTATGGGACGAACATGCGAAGAGCGGCAGTTTAATAGTTTAACAACCGAATAATGATTTTTTTTCTCTTCATTATCGTGATTTTATCCGTAAGCTAGTTGATCACGTCTGAATATTTATGCAGTCGTTTTGGAAGAATAACGAATCCGGTAGACCTGCATACATCCGGACTTACATTTCATCGACTAGAAAGAAATTTATACATATTAGGTAGGATAAAGTGGAGCAATATGGCCAATTGGGGCAATGTGGCCACTCGCTTAAAATCAACTTATTGAACATATTTTACCAAAAATCAACTATCCATTTCATTTAAGTCTAACAAGATGCTTTTCTCTAGAGCAAATATTGTGTTAGACTAGCACAAAATTTTAAAACTGTTATAAGATTTCTGAATCAGAAAACAAGATCTATCCGTAGTTTCTTATAACTTATCGTTAATATTCCTTCAGCAGATTTTATAAATGGTCATTGGTTTCTTATATGACACGATGTTTTTCTAGATTTTAATAAACATTAAAGATTTTCTTAACAAAATATTACTTAAGTCCATTCAGGGAAATATGAGCACCACTGATTAATTTGTTTTTTATTCCTTTCATAAATATGACTGTTTCAAAAGAAATCATGTTTTGAAACAGCTGCTTTGGTAAAATATCAGTCATTCACAAGTAAAGTATAGTATAAGATAGGCAGTACTTCTGAAATTTAATTTATTCCACGGAAAATAATTGTTTCTGTTTAATATTTCAACCTAGAACTACGTCTTTGTGGTCAATACTGGGGTGTAAATTTTTAAAAAATGTGTGAAATAGTGTTAGGTTTCGCACGTTTGTAACTTTGCCATTCACAGATGAAATTTAAATCGCCAATCGGTAGGAAATAACTACGAATCTGCTGATTCAAATACTTTTCCAATTAACAAAAAAACAAAAAAAACATTTTTTAAATGTACAAACGGTAATTTTATCACCGTTTTCATGAAATAAACGTTTTTCCCAAACCCAGTCGCCATAATCGACTACCACTTGGTTGCACATCGTTCTGCTTGAACCTGAAAAGTAATAAAATAGCGCTGCTGTCGTGCCTCTGCAAATTTCCGCTTAGGACGGCGTGGCAAGCAACAAGTAGGAGCAAGAGGTGGATTTTCTCCCTCTCTCTCTGCTGTCGAGCTTAACATTCTCGTAGGCGCTGCAACCGGATATCGTGCAGGAGTGGGATGAGTTTTGTCGATGTCGTACCGAAGTTTAGATCGAACAGTCGGTTCTTCTCAGGACCACAATTTTTTACAGAAAGAGTTATAATACTGGGATAAATCGGCTTGATCGATTTTCTGTAAGACTACAATATTATTTCCCTCCTGGGTCTCGTTCAAATATTACGAAACGCGAAAAAAATATTTTTACCAATTATTTAATTTAATTAAATAATTTATAGCAAATATTTTTCCATTTTTCATCAAACATTACGCTCAGAACTGATGTCGAATAAGGCCGAAACAATTGAATCACAGACAAACAGACGTAACACTTTGAAAAAGTTTTTCTTGAAAACATAGTATCTCAAAACATAGGACCTCAGTAACGACATCTCTCTGGCTTCTCGCGGAAAACAAGATTGCTCGCTAACTCGCAAACAATATTGCATAAAAGTTCTATAGAATGTATAGAAACGTCAAAGTGGTCCGATGACAGCGCTGCGGCGAGTAGTTCGCGGAACTGATAATATACAAATCAATCGTTAAATGCGTGAACGAAGATACACAATGAAGTGTTACGTATGTTTGTCTGTGATTGAATATTTATGTGATGCTTCTAATATCATAAAACAACTTTAATAAATATTGTTTGATGTGTACAAAATGTGCAAAAATCCTGTTTTGTCACACTGTTCAAAGTTTATAAGAAGACCAAAATACAAGATCATAAAAGTACCTAAAGAATTACTTTTTATTTGTTTTTGTGAAGTTAACGTCCTGAGAATGGCATGACAGAAATAATTGAAGAACCTTTTTTTCAATTTAAAATATGTTTTATGGATTTGGAAAGAAAAATTAACTTACAACTTATTTTCGAAACAATCCTTATATAAGTTTTTCATCTATGCTATTGTAAGTTTTATATGATACAATGACTTTCCATTAATTCAATTCCAACGTTTGCTATTGTATAGTAAGATACAATGAATTTTAGTCAACTTAAATAAGTTGCAGTTGAAAGTCATTTGTCTGTCATAGTTCTGCAACATAAAGATTTGTGATGCCAGATGTACTTTGATTTCTAAAGTTATTTTGCAATGACTAACATTAGTATGTTTCCGAAAGTTGAGTGAACATTTTTGGAACCTAATTATGAATAATAAAGGAACTTATTTTATAATTTCAAAAATTGAATCTTAACAATAAATTGTTCATTTTGGAGTCAAGTTTCTAAACCATTTGTTTTGTTATTGATATATTACTGAATGGAGCAGCAAAAATATTCTCGTAGTTTTATGTCAACAATGCGGTCGTGCTTTGAACAAAACTCTTATTTTTTTTCTTTGATTTGTTTTCCGTTAATCTTGTCGATCTGCTCATACAACTCTGCTGAAGCCCACTTTTTGATTAGGGTTTTTTTTCTTTATTACCGTGATTTTTAGCCGTAGGATAGTTCATCACGTTCAAAAAAATTATGATTAGGCTTCAAGGTAAATAGTTATTAATTGATTTCGAGGCCGATATCTTTCTGCTTTGATTAATCGAACGTTTTCAAGGCAATACTGCATCTTGAATTTATGACATAGTAGCCTGGATTTCTTGCTCTATTCTTCGTGCCAAGCATACCAATGTTGCCTGCCGATGGTTGATGGTGCATATTAGAAGAACATCATTTTCGTAATCAATTAATGCAAATGCAATCTTCAGCAAAGTTTAAGTTGGGAAAATTTCACATTAGTAATCAAATCACATCAAATTTCGTAGATCATTGCAGCGAATGACTTGATATTACAGCGAAGGGAGAGTGCTTCAATCAAAAAGTTCACTTTTCTTTATGGAAATCCAAAATAAAAACTTCAAAGGACCAGTGCAATATGAGATTGCATTCAAAAGAGCTCAAATTTTGGGAGAATTATCAGGACCTCATTTGTAATCAATTGAGCTTGGTAGAGCAAAATTTATATTTAGAACCACCCTAATGGTTCATTGTACCTAGTAAAATATAACGTTAAACAATAAATTATATAGAATTTCAGTTATTTTTATATACAATTTTTAACGTTTCATTTTTTTCTTTAATATAATTGCAGCTTTCATCAACTGCCAAGGTAGCCAGATGGTTTCATCAACTACAGTGGACTAATCAAAACCAGACGCTTTCAAGGCCTGAAAGTGGGTTTGTTTCCGGTGATTCTCGCTCAGAAAAAAACCAGAAATCAGAAGCAGACATTACTGACAGTCTAGCCAAAGATCAGCAGCAGCATCAGAATGTAGATTTATGTGACGAATATCTTTTAATTGAAGGTACTAGTAATTTATGGAGTAAATTAAATGTCAAGAAGCGTAAAAAGCTACTGAGTATGAAGCTAGGCAAAGTAACTACATTTTGAGGATATTAGATCAGATCATTTACATTATTGGTTTTTCTTGTTGGTAGAGAGAAGCTTTAGTTATACTATATATATATATTATATATTTTTAAATAAGTACAAAAGTTGTTTTATCAATGCAGCAATCTTGACTACAAATGCATATTAGCAAAATTTGAACGTAATGTTCTCTTCTACGCGCCATAACATTATTCGACAGTAATGTTGGAGCTACAGAATTTATTCAGAAGACTCGTTTTAGATATAGTGATGGGTAAAATTTTACAGGGTGACTGGTAATTCGGGTTACACCCGAAAAGAGGTAAGTAGACCACATTTGCAGCAAAAAAGGTATGGCAAGGTTATTGATCTATTTATTTTACATTGCCGAACAACACTACCAATTTTTGCTCGGGCACTCGCGAATATTACCATAGCCCACCAGGTAAGCATTGCTCGGCTACTATGATCAATCTTTGTTTACTAACCAGTAACCACTCTATTCAATTGGCGCCACAGTTTTACTTTCGGATGGATTTGATTAGGCTCTAACCGTTTAATGTTACGTGCAACGTTTTTGATTGCTTATGAATACCCGAGCAAAATGAGGCACTTTGAATCAGTAGGAAATTAACTGCTCAGTATCTCGGTAAGGAATGATTTGTCGACCTAGCGTGCCATACAATGTTTTGCTGCAAATGTGGTCTACTTTCACCTCTTTTCGGGTGTAACACGAATTACCAGAAATAGCCATTCCATAGCAAAACGATATAGTGGTTCTTACAAATTCATAAAAATGTGTAGTTTTGTTCCTTATCGCAAAATATTAGACCTGTATTTTTTTTGTCATTAGGTTGACCATTTCCATGTTAGGGTGGTCCAATTGGTTTTTTTTTATGGTTTTTATGGTTTCCACTTTATCGTTTTGCTATGGAATGGCTGTATATATTGAATTATATATCTTATAAAAATTATACAAATGACGAATTGTCTCTTTTTCTTTCCTTAACTCAATATTTAGAAAAGAATATCATACGTACTTTTACTTTATTATCCTTTAGATTTTAAAGACAGCATTTTCATTGCATGTTCAAAATAAAAAAAATACATTTAAAAAAGATTTACTAACCTTACTATTTTCAGTAAGACTTATTTTATTTCAGCCTAACATATAGACAAAAACTATTAAAAACCAGTTATGTATTCGGAAAACCGTTAGTAAATAACATGATGATTATTTTCACAGAAATAATCTCACACACATTAGAAAAATGAACAATAGATATTTCATTAGAACAATGATCAAGACTGAAATTTTTTAATTATAATGAAAAAAAAATCGGTTTACGCAAATAAAAAATGATGCAAATGCAGTATACTGATATATTAAAAAATTGAGAAATAGATCCATCATCACCAACATCTATATTAAGATAAAATCGGTATAGTCATTATAGTTGTTTGGTTAGCGGCGTCAGTCTTTTTTTATTATTATAGTCACTTTAACACTCTTGGGTCATTCATGACTTGACTGGGGGTGAGATTTGAACTCGTGACTTTGGCGTGAGAGGTATGGATTCTAACCACTATGCTGGAGTCGCCCCCAGCAGCGCCAGTCGCTTAGGCATATTGTGTATGTGCTCAGGTAAGTCTTACTTGTAGAATGCCTCTGCTGATTGACTGTACTGAGCAAAAGTGTTCGTGTTGTTCTCATTTCCAAATCCCATGAATTTCGTAGCAATTCCCATACGAATCTTCATCGTCATTGCGATATTGCTAAATTGCAAATCCTTGCTGCTCACCTTACCTTACTGCTTACTGCTGCTGCTGAAACTCGTTGTGGCATCCAGGTTCAACACTGGTGATCTCTGCAATATCCCGCTCCTTGCGAACACGTTCGCTCCTCCGTTTTCACTTTCTGGCGTCTTCACATCGTCCTTCATATGTTTTTGGGTTTTCTCATTTTCTTCTTTTTTGTTTTTTTCTCCGTTTTTCTCCATTTTTTTGGGTCCCCCCTCCAGGCCGCTATCTCCACTCGTTGTATGTAGTCGCCTATCGTGATCCCATGGTTATCTATGCAAGCAGGGAGGCCATGCTGGGGTTGACACGGTCCTTCATGGGGGCCGTGTTCAGAGTCAGATCAGCGTAAGTTAGGAATGATACATCTGAGCCTATTACTCACCAACCACCAATTGGTGACGAGTTTTGAACGTATCCGGAGGCCTGCCAAGGTTTTACCGGGATGGTGGCAGCCGCACTATTAGCCCACTCGCCATTTCAAGAAGGTGTCACCCTTCTTTACTCAGGAGGCAGAATAACACAACTGTTAGCCCTGTAGCATGCACAGATAAAAATGCTGAATTTTAATTGTGATGTAAACATTCATTCATTCATTTCATTCGTAAACATTGCATTTCACGCAACCGAGCAACTTGCAAACAATGTTGTTTACAAATATGGGCTTTTGTATACAATATTTGCTACATTGCATGAAATGTGTCAGAACTTGACATGATATATAATGTAAACGTATATGATATGTGACGCTCCATTTATGTGCATCATATTGAACAGAAATTTATGCTACTTTTCGAACAGTGTGGTATCCAATCCATTGCATTGCACGAAGCTTTTACTCTATCGCCGTGCTATGGTTACCGCGCCAGTGTTCGCGTCGCACCCCCTCACTTTACTATTGTCGGAAGGACAACATTGCCCAGGCTACACCACGGAGAGGTGTGAGGTAGGAACTTGTGAGGACCAGAGCTATGTAGGTAAAACGCTCTTCCGAGGTTGTCAACTCACCATTTGTAGCCCTGTTGTGTGTGTGTGTGTTTTTTTTATAGTAAGGTTAAGCAAATCTTCAAGAAGCCTGGCCTGTAGTGAAGTTGGCACGGTGTGGTATCCGCTAGAAATTTATGCTACTTTTCGAACAGTGTGGTATCCAATCCATTGCATTGCACGAAGCTTTTACTCTATCGCCGTGCTATGGTTACCGCGCCAGTGTTCGCGTCGCACCCCCTCACTTTACTATTGTCGGAAGGACAACATTGCCCAGGCTACACCACGGAGAGGTGTGAGGTAGGAACTTGTGAGGACCAGAGCTATGTAGGTAAAACGCTCTTCCGAGGTTGTCAACTCACCATTTGTAGCCCTGTTGTGTGTGTGTGTGTTTTTTTTATAGTAAGGTTAAGCAAATCTTCAAGAAGCCTGGCCTGTAGTGAAGTTGGCACGGTGTGGTATCCGCCAGTTGCCTAGTGCAGCTTTACTAAAACCCATTCCTTACTCTCTCCTCTGCCTGGATCCCCCCGGGACCACTGTGAAGCGACTACTTTGGGGGGGTGGCTATGCTCATGCACTTCATACTCTCAACGCTAGCTGACGTTGCTAGATCGCTGCTCTTCTCTCCATTTACGCTGCAGCTCCGACATGATCTGCGTGACTGCCCTGCTGACGGCATTCCAAGTGCCCTCCTCTCGACACATTTCATCGACGACATTCTCCACGTTAAGGACGGGCATCTTCCTTCGCACTGCCTCGAACCTTGGACAGTCGAATACCACATGCTTCGCCGTTTCATCGACGTTGCCACATTCCGGACAGAGGGGTGATGCTGCGTGTCCGAACCTATGCAGGTATTTCCTGAAGCAGCCGTGGCCAGACAGGAACTGCGTTAGGTGGAAGTTGACTTCTTCGTGTTTTCTGTTCACCCAGGACGAAAGAATCGGTATTAGTCTATGTGTCCATCTACCGTTCTCCGTCGTGTTTCACTCCTGTTGCCACTTATCCAATGACTCCACTCTCACAACTTTCCGTACTCTTTCGGCTTCTCTCCGCCTGTAGCACTTGGTGTCCTCCGCCAAGGTGATGCCGATGGGGATCATTCCGGCGTTAACGCATACTGCTTTTGACGAGATGGTTCTGTACGCACTCACGACTCGTATGGCTATGAGCCGGAACGTACTACTCAGCTTCCTTTGGTTCTGCTTCGTTTCCAGTGCTGCAACCCAAGATGGACCTCCATACCTCAGTATCGATGACGACACACTGGCCAGAAGACGCCTCTTGCTACTGCTGGGAACAGCGTTGTCCAGCATGATTCTAGCTATCACGTTGATGGCCTTTGAAGCCACAGGCATATTCGACGTGGCTGTTGAAGTTTAGCCGGTCATCGATCATCACTCCCAGGTATTTCAACATACGCTTCGCGGCTATGGCGTGCTCCCCGACGATGATTTCTCCCCGTTGTACCGCTTTACAGTTACTGACCAATAGCACTTCCGTTTTGTGGTGGGCTATCTGCAGCTTCGCTCCTTGCATCCAGTTACCAATCATGTCGATCGCCTCGGTTGCCAACACTTCCACCTCTTCCAGCGTCTCGCCTGTTACCGTCAAGTCCGAAAAGCCAACGATCTCAACTCCTTTGGGTAGTTTCAGCGATATCACACCGTTGTATATCCCGTTCCAGAGCGTTGGACCAAGGATGGAGCCTTGTGGAACTCCCGCTGTTATTCTAATCGATCTCTGTCCCATGTCTGTCTCGTAGACCAGAACCCGGTTCTGAAAATAACTCCTCAGGATCCTGCACAGGTAGTCAGGGACCCTCATTCTATGCAGCGCTTCGGCGATGGCCTCCCAGCTGGCGCTGTTGAACTAATTTTTCACGTAGATCATTATTACGGCGCAATATCGATCTCCTCTCCGCTTCTGTTTGGACGCCTTCTCAGCTCTCTCGACCTTTGTCCGAATTGCATCCACCGTCGATCTCCCTTTCCGGAATCCAAACTGCCTCTCCGACAATCCGTGCTCACTCTCCGATGATTTCGTCAGTCTGTTAAGGATGATCCTCTCCAAGAGTTTTTCGAGTGTATCCAGCAGGCATATAGGCCTTTACGATGCAGGATCCCCCGGCGGTTTTCCTGGTTTCGGCAGCAACACTAGCTTCTGTATCTTCCACCTGTCAGGGAAGTGACCCTCGTCTAGGCATTTCTGCAGCACCATCCTGAACATGTCCGGGGATGCCTGGATCGCCACTTTCAACGCAATGTTTGGAGAAGAACTAGCCAAAAGGCTAAAAATCTTCTTAATAAAGGTATTAAAAAAAAAAGCTTTCAACGCAACGTTGGGGATTCCATCCGGACCGGAAGCTTTCTTCACCTTCAATCCTTTCGCCACTGCTACGAGTTCCTCGTTGGTGACTTCGATGTTATCTCCCTCTCCTTCTCCGCACGGTGTAGGTGGCCAGGTCGTTGGGTCGTGCTTCGGGAAAAGTCCTCCACGATAACTTTCAGCTTCTCTGGGCACATTTCAGCTGGCATCGTTGGACCTCTGATCTTCGCCATCACGACTCGGTATGCGTCACCCTAGGGGTTGGCATCAGCGTCTCAACACAGCTCCTTAAAACAGTTTAACTTGCTCTGCTTTATCTCTCGTTTAAGTGCGGACCAGGCCACTCGAAACACTCCTCTTCGCTCCTCTCTATCTGCTTCCGTTCTTGCTCTCTGAACACGTCTTCTGGCTCTGAGACATCTAGCGTGGAGAGTGCTAAGTGCCTCGTTCCACCAGTAACATGTGGACGACGCCTGTTATTTGGCTCCAGTTTCCTCGGCATGGTCGTGTCACATGCTCTCACTAACGTTTCTGTCAGCTCATCCGCGTTTAGATCTGCGGGACTCCTGTCGACACGAAGTGCCTCAACGAAAAGATCCTTGTCGAAAGCCTTCGTCTTCCACTTCCAGTCACAAGTTCTCGTCCTCAGTACTGCCACAGTATTCCGTTGGCCGACGCCATATCGTATCGCCTGATGGTCGCTACGGGTATATCCTTCGCACACTCTCTAATCCATGTTTGCCACCAGCGACGGACTGCAGAAAGTAACGTTGGTAATGGATTCCCGGCCATATCTGCGAAAAGTGCTGCTGGTGCCATTATTGGCCAGCATAACTTCCAGTTTGGCCAGAGCTTCCAGCAGACTGTGCCCTCTTGCATTGGAACATCTGCTTCCCCACTCCACTGCCAAAGCATTGAAGTCTCCTCCGAGGACTACCGCTCGTCGTCCGATCAGCTCTTCGGTAAGTCCATCCAGCATCTCATGGAACTTCTCCATCCTCCCAGGGGGGGTGCGTAACAACTACACATGAAGATTCCGTTGATTTTGGCGATCACGAAACCTTCGTATGAGCTCGCAACCACTTCTTGAATGGGGTATCTGCCCATAACTTGTATAGTAGCCATCTCAGCTATATCCGCCACCCAGTTATTGTTATCGGGAGGTACTCGATACGGTTCCGCAATGATTGCAACGTCGCACTTTGTTTCTGTTGTCG